TGAAGGATTTTCAGTGGAATTTCTGAAATGTAAGTACACACAGACACACACACACACCCTCAAGATCTTTTTTTCCCCTTCTATTATTCTCTATCTTTATTTGACTGTACCTGTCATCCCTTTTTCTGTCTCTGTTTCTGTCCTCCCTCTATCTGTTTCTGACTGTATTATTATGTTTTGTAATATATCTTATATACTGTCCTCTTTGTTCTTTTAAATATTTCTAGCCACCCTTTGCATCCTGGGATGGAACAGCATCTGGAGCTCCTTTTTTTGATCTGAAGTTTTGTTGGACTCACGTGGGGCCTTGTTGTTTGGGCATGCTGGACTGTTCATGAAGTGGTGAAAATTCATCAGACTTTGTGGTTTTTAGAACTGTTTAATTATGACCATGTTGGTTAACTTTTTTTTTAAGTTTTTAAAGTTATGCATAATAATATATGTTTCAAGTAATTTAATATTATTACATTTCATGTCCAATTTATTTTGGAATTCAAAGTATTACTAAATACACTGTTTTATGACATTTCTTTCATGCAAATTTGACAGTTATATATAAAATAAATTTTGACCTGTTTAAGAAGTCTTTTTTTTTTGTTAAATAACAAGTGAATTAATTTATGCATCATACAACACTTTATGTAGTTACATGTTGTTTAAAGCATATGCAGTTAATGAATAGTTTAAATTTAAAATGTACCTGCTAGTCATTAATATTCATGAATATTACAGCATACACACATTAAAGTAGTTTACTGTAAAAAATACAGAAATAAAATTTACTGCAATCAGGAAACACAGGGAAATGCTGTAAGTTAAATTACAGCAACACTGCTGTAAATATTACAGTAAACGGCTGGCAACCCTGCTGCCAGTATTTTACTGTAAAATTTACAGGTAATTTTTTACAGTGTAGTGAGTGTACTAAAATTGTTCATTCAAATTCAAGACACCACAGCATGTACTGTTTACAAAGACAATCCTATAACGCAATGCAATGGTCACAAGTTCTGTCGTAACCAATATAGTTCAATGTAACTTGAAACAATGAAACACAGTTGGCAACTGATGCTTTTGGGAAACACACCTCTGTTCAGTTACCCCTGTAGGCAGTCTCATTTATAAAAAAGAATTGTTATTTACTGTAATCAGGAAATACAGGGAAATGCTGTGTAGCGCCTGGACCAATCAAACACAATTTTTCATTTGATTTAACAAATCAGTTATTCATTAGATTAACAAATCGTCACAGTCCCCTCACCCAATAA